AGCTGCTATTCAAGAAGAAACCGGACCTGACGCTGGCGTGTGTGTGGGGCTGCATGGTGCAGTTCATGGTCCCCGAGCAGCAGCGCGGCGGGAAGCTAGCGCCGAAGGCCCGGTGGGGTCTTCATCTTGGTGTCTCGCAGGAGAGCAAGGGCTGGGAGGTGCTCGACCTCACCGACAACAAGGTGGTGACGACCGTAGAGGCGATCTTCTACGAAGCGATGTCGCTGGAGGCGTGGCAGGCTGAGCACGGCCCCGTTTCGACGCGGAAATCTGTTGTCGCGCCGAAGGATCCCTCGTCGACGACGACCCCTTTGCTTGCCGTCGAGGACGACGACGTCGAGGACGTCACTCCTCCCTCTGCGCCCACTTCTACCTCCCCCCTGCCTCTTGTCGCTGATCTGCCTAGGACGGCGTCGCCGTCGGCCACCGGCGATGAGGGGAGCATTGCTGCGTCGCCTTCGGCGCCGGCTGGTGGCATCGCTGGCGACCGACGTGACGAAATGCCTCTCGACGGCCAAGTGCAGAAGTTGCAGCTGACAGGGGAGCGCATGGCAGAGGAGTCGGCAGAGCCGGTAGAGGAGAAGTCGGCAAAGCCGGTAGAGAGGAAATCGGCAGGGGAGTCGGCAGAGGCGATAGCAGAGGAGCCGACTGCAGAGGACCAGCTCGACGATGGCGCGTCGAGCGATGTCATAGAAGTCCTTGGTGGCGAGGAAGGGGAGCCGTCGGCAGGGGAGCAGTCCGACGATAGCGACGTGGTGGAGGTCCTGGTCGACGAAGCGAAACTGCGGCGCTCTACCCGCTCCAACTTCGGCAAGCCCGCAGAGAAGTTGAGCTAGCACGCTTGTCTACCGCCGACTCTCTACAGCACGCTGCTCGATGACGCAGAGGACGATGTCGTCCTTCCCGAGCTCGACCCCGACATGCACGCCGACCCGGAGCATCGCTGGGACATCGCGACGATGACGGTGAAGGAGGAGATGGAAGGGGAAGGCGGTGAAGGCCGCCATGGACGAGGAGATCAAGAGCCTCATCACCAACGGAACGTGGGAGCTGGTCGAGCGTCCACGCGGCGTCAACATCATGAAGAATCGCTGGGTGCTTACGACGAAGTACCACGCCGACGACACGGTCGCCCGCGAGAAGGCCCGTCTAGTCGTGAAGGGTTTCACGCAGGTCTACGGCGCTGACTACGACGAGACGTACGCGCCGGTGAGCAGCTACGTAACTCTGCGGATCTTCCTCAGCATCGTAGCAGTCCTCGACCTGCATCTGATGCAGCTCGACATGAAGAACGCGTTTCTACAGAGCAAGCTGGATCGCGTCCTCTACATGTACCAGCCGGACTACTACAACGACGGAACCGGCCGAGTGTGCAAGCTGCTGAAGAGCCTCTACGGGCTGAAGCAGTCGCCGTTGCTGTGGTATAAGGCGCTCGACGACATGCTGACTGGTGCTGACTGGAAGAAAAGCCAGGTCGACGAGGCTCTCTACTTCAAAGTCGGCGACGACGGAGTGGTGTGCTGGGTGCTCATCTACGTCGACGATCTTCTTGCCGCCAGCAGCAGCCTCGCTATGCTGAAGGAGCTGAAGGAGCTGCTGGAGGCCGCCTTCGAACTGCGCGAGATCAAGCCGGTCGAGAAGTACGTTGGGCTGGAAATTGTGCGCGACCGACCTGCGCGGAAGCTGTGGCTCCACCAGCAGGTCTACGTCGACAAGCTGCGTCGGCGTTTCATCGACGACGAGCAGACCGTGCGAGTGCCGAAGACGCCGGTCTCCGTCGACGCCTACGCAGAACTGACTTTCGACGACGAGGACGCGCAGTCGCGCGAAGAGGAGGAGTATCGGCAGAAGGTCGGCTCGCTGCAGTTTGCGGCGACGACGACAAGGCCGGACATTGCCTTCGCATGCAGCAAGTTGGGAAGCGGCCTGACTGTGCGGAGCGACAACCACTGGCGCGAGGTCGACCGTTGTCTGCACTACCTTGCTGACACCCGTGACGCCGCTCTGGAGTTCGGCGGCGGACCAGAGTCGCTAGTTCTGGTCGGCTATGCAGACGCCGACGACGCTGGTGATAAGCAGAATCGAACGAGCACGGGCGGCTATGTGTTCGTCTTCGGCGGAGCCGCAGTCTCGTGGTCGAGCCAGCGCATCAAGTGCGCGACGCTCTCGTCGACCGAATCAGAGTACGTCGCGGCCACCGAAGCTGGCAAAGAGGCTCGCCGTCTACGCTTCCTCCTTGCAGAATTCCGCCTGCTCGACGCAAGGAAGCCGACTGTTCTGCACGTGGACAACCAGTCGGCAATCACGGTCGCAGAGGGCTTGGGGCTCAAAGGCAACCTCAAGCACATGGAGCGACGCTATGCCTGGCTGCAGTCGGCCAAGTGCGTCTAGCCGACATTGGCGACGGTGATGACGAGGTGCAGCAGTAGGTGCCGTGCCCTTTCTGCACGGCTGGTGCGGTGACCTGCGTGCTATGTGTTGGGTGCACGCAGACGGAATTTCTCCTTGTATTCTATCCCTTGGGTTCTGGGTAGACCTAGTGCGTGGGGTGCCCAAGCGTGAGCGCGGCAGGGGAGTGTTGACGGAAATTGGCCCCGCCCTCGCTTGGGCGAAGCGGACTTCGCAGTTGGGGTGCGCGCAGAAGTTGTCGTAGACTGCGCGCAGAGTTCGACCTTGACCTGCCCGTATCGTCCGACCTCGACGCGTTCGCAGAGGACGCGGTCGACGGCCTCGCAGAGGACGCTGGTCGACGAGTCCGTCGAGGAGCTCGGTTCGCGGGATCCGTTCGGTATAGGAGCTCCTCGACGAAGGCGGTATAGGAGCTCCTCAAGGCCGGTATAGGAGCTCCTCGACGAGGCTGGCAGAGGGCTCGTCTAGGCGAAAACTGCTCGACGAAGCATTCGTCGAGCTGCTCTACGGAAGCCGCGCGACTGCGAAATTCGTCATGTGGGCGAATGTCGCCCAGGAGGTTTTCGCGAAGTCAACCTGCGGAACGGCATCACGTGCTCGACGGTGCATCGCTGGCGAAACCGTCGGCACGTGTTCTACCTGGCACCTGCGCAATGTGCCTGGCGGCGCGTCCGTCTACCTGCACCTACTTGGTAGGTGCGCACCTGCGCAGAAGTTCACCTGCCTCTGCCGCGCTGGCAGACCTGCTATACCGAGCTGGCAGACCGCTGCTATACCGCGCTGGCAGACTACTCTGCTGCAGCGTTGGCAAGCCGCTCTTCTGCTGCGCTGGCATAGTTCGCCTTGCAGAGGGCTTGCTAGGTGTTGCAATGCCATTCTAGCTATATCGACTTTCATGCCTCATTGTAATCTAATGTTCTTTCAATTTCTTAGTGGAATTCTTGCCATATCTCTCTATGAACATAACAAGTAGTGAGAACGCTGTCAAATTATATAGGGGTTGTACATTTGTAGGCTGTAGTGGGTTAGCACTAGGGGGTACAGTATTTTCCTCGACATTCTTCTTGTACCCCACCTTGACCTAATCTCATCCATACCTTCCTAGTTCTCTCAACATGGTATCAGAGCTAGGACGTTCCTAGCCTAGGACGATTTTTTCAAGGGCCCACCGTTAAAACCTTCCATGTTCCTGCCCGAATCGAGTTCTCTTTTTTTTTCTGCCCGAAATGCGACCTTAGGGGCGTCGATTTTCGTTGACCCGCGCCCCCCCCCTGTCCTGTCGCGCGTAGCCCACGAGCAGCCCGCGTAGCCCACGTAAGGCCCGCGCGCGGCCCGTGTAGTTCGCGTAGGCCTTCGCGCCGCCCGTACCGCCCGCGTCAGGCCCGCGCGCAGCCTGTATAGCCTACGTCAAGCCCGCGCGCGGCCTGTACAGTCCGTGCTAGGCGTTCGCGCAGCCCGTACAGCCCACGTCAGGCCCGCGCGCGGCCAGTACAGCCCACGCCAGGCCTGCACGCTGCACTGCGCCTGTGCTGCTGCTCTACCGCTGCTGCAATTTGCTGCAGCTGTTCCCACTTACTGCCACTGCTGCTACTTGCTGCAGCTACTTACTTGCTGGCGCTGCTGCTACTTGCTGCAGCTGCTCTTCCTTACTGCCACTGCTGCTACTTGCTGCAGCTGTTTCTACTTGCTGCCGCTGCTGCTACTTGCTACAGCCGCCCCTGCAGCAGCCGCCCCTGGCCCCTGCAGCAGCCGCCCCTGGCCCCTGGAGCAGCCGCCCCTGCAGCCGCCACCTCTGGCCCCTGAAGCAGCCGCCCCTGCAGCAGCCGCCCCTGGCCCCTGCAGCAGCCGCCCCTGGCCCCTGGAGCAGCCGCCCCTGCAGCAGCCGCCCCTGGCCTCTGGAGCACCCGCCCCTGCAGCAGCCGCCCCTGCAGCAGCCGCCCCTGCAGCAGCCGCCGCCACCAGGGAAGCAGCAGCTGCCGCTGCCGGGCCTGCAGCAGCTGCCGCCGCCGGACCTGCCGCAGCTGCCGCCGCCGGACCTACCGCCCCGGCCCGCCGCTGCTGTCCCTACTGCCCCGGCCCTGCCCTGCAGCCGAGCCGCGGCCCTGCTCTGCCGCCTCGTTGCGGCCCCGACCCTGCCACCGCACCTCGGCCCGCCCCTGGTAAGCACACCGCCGAGCTGCGCCGCCCTGCTGAGCCGCACTGCCTAGCCGTGTCGCACTGCTGCTGCTGCTGCTAGCCTACTGCTACTGCTGTCATGGCTAGCCCTACTGTGCTTACCTTTGACGCTGAGGGTCGGGCGGTCGATTTCGATGTCTGGGTCGATGACTTGCAGCTTTTCCTACAGTGCGATAGCAAGGACGGTGTTTCCCAGTTTGATCTTACGTCTGGTGCCTCTACCGCCCCTGCTGCCGATGCTGACAGTACTGTTCGCTCACAGTGGACCACACGCGATGATGCTGCCCGTCTTGCTGTGCGTAGTCACCTGCCGTCCACTGAGCGCGCGCACTTTAGCCAGTACAAGACTGCTAAGACCTTGTACGACGCTGTAGTTGCGCGCTACTCCTCCCCTGCCACTGCTGCCCTTAGTCGCCTCATGCTGCCGTACCTGTTCCCTGACCTCGCTGCCTTTGACACAGTCGCTGACCTCATTACGCACCTCCGCACTAGTGACACCCGCTACCGCGCTGCGCTTCCTGCTGAGTTCTACGCCAAGAACCCCCCCCCCCTATGTACATCACCCTCTACTACCTAGTCACCCGGCTCCCTGACTCCCTTCGTCCGGTCAGGGACCACTTCCTCTCTGTTTGCCCCACCACACTCACCGTTGACCTCCTCGAGGAGCGCCTCCTTGCAGCTGAGAAGAGTATAGTCGCTGTAGGAGCCTCTCGTGGTGACCCTCGTACCCCTTTCTTTGATGGGTGCTCCCCTGTTCCCCTCTTGCCCTCTGTTGCCTCTGCTGCTGCTGTCGACCTCGTTAGCACCGAGTCGGTCGGCGCTGCGTCTGCCCCTAGCGGGAGGCGCCGCACCGGCAAGAGCAAGGGGGGCAAGGGTGCTGGGAGAGCGGGCGGGGGCGGCGGTGGTGGCGGTGGGGGCGGTGGGGGCGGTGGAGGGGGTGGGGGTGGCGGTGGGAGTGGTGGGGGAGGTGGGGGCTCTGGTGGCAGCGGCGGAGGCGGCGGCGGCGGGGGCGGTGGGAGCGGCGGAGGCGGAGGTGGTGGCGGTGGGAGCGGCGGAGGAGGAGGCGGTAGCAGCGGTGGTGGCGGTGGCGGTGGGGCTGGTCGGGGTGGCCCTGTGCAGCGGGGAGGCTTCGGTGGTGGTCAGCGTCAGCAGCAGCAGCGCACTCGGGAGACCCCTCCCCCCCAGCAGCTTCGTGAGTGGTACGCTGCGCGTCAGCGAGGTGGGGGTGCATGTCTCTGTGCCTACGTTCTGCGTACTGGCGACCGCACGGGCGAGCCGTGCGGCGGCCCGCACACCACCCAGCACTGCTTTGGCCGCCTGACTGACGCCTGGCGTCTCCAGTTCCCTCACGCCTCTGAGATCCCTCGCTGGGGTGATTTGCTTAGGTCGGGTGTAGCGATCTTTGATCTTGACTTTGATGCTATTCTTGCTGCCATGTATGCTGTGACTATTAGTGAGGAGGGTGACTGTTACCTGCGTGTTCCGCCTGACCCAGGCATTGCTGCTGCTGCTCTAGGTGCTCGCGAGTCCACTGCTCCAGGTACTAGTGAGTCTGCTGCTCCAGGTGCTGGTGAGTCTGCGCTCTCAGGTACGTCGGCTGGTCAGGCTTTACACACCTTCACCCTTGACTCGGGTGCTTCTCGCTCCTTCTTTCGAGACCGCACCACTCTCACGCCGCTCAGTCGGCCGGTTGCAGTCTCCCTGGCAGACCCCTCTGGGGGTCCTGTCCTTGCCCACTTCTCCACTGTACTGCCGTGTCCAGCGGCCCCGTCTGGCTCCCTGCAGGATGGGGGAGTTGACCAGTTCACTCCTGCGAGTCAGCGGGTGACCCACTGCACGGACGCTCGGACGGGCCGACACTTGGCCACGTTTACCCGTCAGCCGGGGTCGAGCCTGTACACACTGACTACCGAGTCTCCTTCGGTTGCTGCGTCTGGTCAGGTAGCTGCGTCGGGTCAGGTGTTTGCTGCAGCGTCCAGGTCTGGTCCTGAGTCTGCCCCCTGCTCGTGTCGCCTCCTGTCTCACCAGACCCTCCTCTGGCACCACCGCCTTGGTCACCCCTCCCTGCCTCGTCTCCGAGGCATGGCCTCCCGTTACCTTGTCTCTGGTCTCCCCCGGTCCCTCCCTCCCCTTCCTCCGGGGCCTGCCCCTACCTGTGTTCCCTGCGTCGAGGGGCGGCAGCGCGCCGCTCCTCACTCCTCCGAGTTTCCGCCGACAGAGGCTCCGCTGCAGACTCTTCACATGGACGTGTGGGGCCCAGCCCGTGTCCGTGGACAGGGTCACGAGCGTTACTTCCTGCTGGTGGTTGACGACTACTCGCGTTACACCACAGTCTTCCCCTTGCGCACCAAGGGTCAGGTTACTGGGGTGTTGATCGACTGGATCCGCGCTGCTCGTCTCCAGCTCAGAGAGAGTTTCGGCTCGGACTTTCCTGTTCTGCGTCTGCATTCCGACAGAGGTGGAGAGTTTTCCTCCGACCTTCTGCGAGCCTACTGTCTAGCGAGGGCATCCGCCAGACGTTCACGCTTCCGGCCTCTCCACAGCAAAATGGGATTGCTGAGCGCCGCATTGGCATGGTCATGGACGTCGCTCGTACGTCCATGATCCATGCGGCTGCTCCCCATTTTCTATGGCCGTTTGCGGTTCAGTACGCGGCGCAGCGCAGCAGATCAACCTTTAGCCCCGGGTCTCCATGCCAGAGACCTCCCCCACCCTGCGGTGGACGGGGAAGGTTGGCAATGCGTCTGCGTTCCGTGTCTGGGGATCTCGGGCTTTCGTCCGAGACTTGTCTGCGGACAAGCTGTCCTCACGTGCTGTTCCTTGCGTCTTCCTTGGCTTCCCCCCTGACGCGCCTGGTTGGCAATTTTACCACCCCACCTCGCGCCGTGTTCTGTCCTCCCAGGACGTCACGTTTGACAAGTCGGTTCCCTACTACCGTCTCTTCCCCTACCGCGCTGCCCCCCTCCCCCCCCCCGCCGCTCTTCCTCGCGCCAGGTCCCCCCCCGGTAGACCCCCTCCCCCCTCAGGGTCCTGCCCCCTCAGGTGTGTCCCAGGTAGACGCAGTCGAGCCTGTCGAGGTAGCTGTCGACTCTGGTGCTACTAGGGGTGCTGAGCCTGCGGGTGCCGGGTCTGGGGGTGCTGAGCCTGAGCGTACGGAGCCTGGGGGTGCGGAGTTTGGGGGTGCTGCGCCTGGGGGTGCTGCGTCTGGGGGTGCTGCGCCTGGGGGTGCTGAGTCTGGGGGTGCTGAGCCTGGAGGTGCTGAGTCTGGAGGTGTGGAGCCTGCGGGAGCTGGGCCTGCTCGTGTGGAGTCTGGCGGTGCTGGACCTGGAGGTCCCTCGGGTGCTTCGGCCCGACGGGAGCTGCCCTCTCCACAGGAGCCACAGGTCCTGTGGAGTCGTGCTGCTGGAGCTGGTGGTGCTGCAGGTGCTGGAGGTTCTGCGACTGCTGGAGGTTCTGGAGCCACAGGTCCCGGAGGTGCTCGTACCGGCGGTACTGGAGCTGCTGGGCCTGGTGGTGCTGCTGGTGCTGGAGCTGGAGGTGCTGCGGACGTGGGTGCTGCTGGAGGTGCTACTGGAGCTGGTGCTGCTGCGTCTTCTGGTGGTCCTGCTGGTGCTGGAGGTGCTGGAGGTCTTGGTGCTGGAGTTGGCGCTGCTGGAGCTCCTGGCGCTACTGCTGGAGCCGGTGGTGCTGCTGGAGTTGGAGCTGACACTGGGGGTGCTGTTGCTGTCCCTGCTAGTTCTGGAGGCGCTGCGAGAACGAGCACTTTCAACCGGCTCAAAGGTGCTAGAAACTCCAGTCCAGCATCAGTCACACTGGTCCCCTTGAGATTAAGAGACCTGAGGCCGTGTGCAGCCCCAATGCCTTCCAAACAGCTGTCTGTTACAGCAGGGCTGGTCAGCTCTAGGCTCTCAAGCTGCTTCATGTAGAAGTGCTTGATTCCCTCTGGGCTGAACGGTGTTGACTTATCAAGAGCGATGTGCTTCAGGTGAGTAATGGTGGACACATGGTAGAGGATGGCTTCTGAGAGGTAAGGAAGCCCCTTCAGGTCCAATGTCGTTGCCGCATGAATCCTCTGCAGATAATGGAAAAAGGGAGAGAAAGTTTGGAGGGGCAACCGTAGAAACCATACCAAAAGGCAAGGTCCAGCTATCCATTCATCTAGCAGCCAACGTCACCATTCTCGCTCTCACCTGCCAAACCGTTTTATATGCCCCTTTCCGCATCCTGAGCTCCTCTTCCACGTCAAACTCCACATGCTTCGGTGCTGGGGGGGACTGCACAGCTGCGGCAAAAAAATCCGAACTCACTCCTTTCCTTAGCCCCTTCACCTCTTCCTCCTCTTCCTCCTCTTCCTCCTCTTCCTCCTCTTCCTCCTCTTCCTCCTCCACATCCTCCTCCTCCTCCTCATCCAAAAACTTTCTCGTTTCTAAAGTCCCTTTCAATGCGTCCAACTTCCCGTTCACAGTCGCCAGCTCCCCCCTTGTTGTTAGCAACTCCCCCCTTACAGTCACCAGCTCGCCTCGTAGTAGCACCAACTCTGCTGCCTTGCCCCGCTCAAGCTCCTCCAATCCTCTCCATATCTTCTCCAGCTGCCATGACGGCTGGAAAGTTGGGGAAAAAAGGGTTGGAGGGAAACTGGTTGGAGGAAGAGCGGTGGAAGGGGGGAAGGGGATGGTGCCGAATAAAGGTGAGAATCACGGTTCCCTGCTCATGCCGCCCTCGTGCTGCTCGACCTAATTCCGTTTCTCTATCCGTCCTCAGCACCCCGCTCTACTTAGGGTAGGGGTTTCTGCTTGCTCAATCCCATGAGAGACAGGGAGGGGAGGGATGGGAAGCGAAGCGACGGGAAGGGAAGGGTATGGCGGGGACGGCAAGAGAACAGAGAGGAGTTAAAAGAGGTGGAAAGCAAGGAAAGGAAAGGGAACGGAACGGAAGAGAAGGGGAGGGAAGGAAAGGGAAGGGAAGGACTTGGGAAGGAAAGGAAATCCATCTGTTGATCGACCTCTTACCTCTTAGAGAATCTCACCTGTTCAGACACATGTTCAGCGGGAGCAGAAGGCGACGACTCCAATCCCTCCGCCACCTGCTCCCGGCACACCACGCCGCTGCGTGACCCTACTACCGCCCCGCCGGCGACTCCTGCTAGCGTCGACGATGACGCAACAGCACCCGCTGCTGCGAAAGGCAGGAGCGGCGGCATCCCCGCTATAGGACGCAGCGCTGCTGCTCCGCTACGAGCATGGGATGCGGCGCGAGAAGTGGTGTTAATAGCGGAGCGAGTGGAACTGGGTGAGAAGCGAACGGGGAGAGAAACGGGGCAGGATCTCGCTGCTCCGCGACGAACGGAGCCCGTGAGAACACGCGCGAGCACCATGGCGATAAGCTTTCGCCTGCACAGCAGGTGATAAAACCCTGATAGGAGTGACAAGACTCGACGTTCAGCGTCGTACGAGTTGCGTAGGCGTTTTTATTCTAGTATTAATATATCAGAAAATGCACTATATTATAAATGAAGCGATAAACTATGCTATTTCTTTATATATCGGGCTTCTTTGGTCCTTACAAAAATTGCGAATAACATTCTTCTCTCTTGCGATTGAGTGCTAGTTTAAGGGGAACGATCTAGGTGTCAAAGAGCTAAAGCTAGTTAGGCTTAGAAGCCATGGCTAGAGTAGCTTAGGAGATTAGGTTTAGGGTTGAAGGGGGATGTCGAGAGAGTTCCAAAGGAGAAAGGTGGTCCAATAAAGAGAGGAGGTACAAGGATATAGGCAAAGCAAGCAAGGTGCACCACCAAACAATGTAACACTACACTAACTACTGCTACAAGCAGTTTATATAAGAAATGTATTTCAACACACCCCCTAAACTGCTTGCAGCAGGAAGCTAATGCAGAGACACCCCCTGAAGGGGTACACCAAGCGCAGCGGAAGACGGCAGAGAGGAATGCGAGGAGGAGGAGACGAGAGAGAGAGAGAGGGGAGAGGAGAGGAATGAGGAGAGGAGGTGGGGGAGCCACGCGGCGAGCCCCTCTTACTAACCCCCGTTTTACGAAGGGGGGGGATGAGAGAGGGATGAGGAGAGGAGGTGGGGGAGCCACGCGGCGAGCCCCTCTTACGAACCCCCTGTTTACAAAGGGGGGGTGAGAGAGGGAGGAGAAGAGGTGGGGGGAGCCTAGCGCGGCAAGCCCCTCTTACTAACCCCCTAATTCCACTCCCCCTTTCAGCCACCCCCCTTGTCAATCGCCCCCCTTGTCAATCGCCCCCTTGAACCTCATGCCTTTCCCCCCACCCTTCCTCCAACGCCACCCCCCTCACCCTCCCCCCCCTTCCCCCCCACCCCAGGAGGGGCGGCAGGAAGAGAGAGGAGGTGGGCTGGCGCATGCTGGTCACCCCCGCCACCCCCTCACCCTCCCCCCCCTCCTGCCCCCCACCCCAGGAGAGGCAGTAGGAAGAGAGAGAGGAGGAGGGACGGCCGCTGGTTTGTCACACCCGCCAACCCCCCCACGGCTGCAGGCGCAGCAGGAAGATGGAGTCGAGGGGGCGGGGTAGGAGCTGCTCCGCGGCTGCCCGCCACCCCCATATCCCCCCCCCCCCCCCCCCCACGGCTGCACGCGTAGCAGGGAGAAGGAGGCGGGGGGGCGGGGTAGGAGCCGCACCGCGGCTGCAGGTTCTGGCGCGCTCCCGAGGCGCGCGGTGTGCAGAAATCCGCGCGCGACAGTGTCCGGGGGCGACACGACGGACGACGGGGGGCGGCGCGCTGGTCCTCGGGGGCGCCGCGACGAACGACGGGGGGCGTCGCGCGGGTTCCTGGGGGCGATGCAACGGACGACGGGGGGAGCGCGCGGGTCCCCGGGGGCTCCGCGACGGAGCGTGAAACCGCCGCGCGCGCCCGGGGCGCGCGGCGGGCAGGAGACCGTCGCGCGCCACGGGCACGCGACGGGCAGAAACCGACGCGCGCCACGGGCGCGCGACGGGCAGGAAAGAGGCGCATTGGCGGAAGCTATCGGTGGGCCCATTAGGTCTTAGGAGCTTAAGTCCTCTGATACCATGTCAAAGAGCTAAAGCTAGTTAGGCTTAGAAGCCATGGCTAGAGTAGCTTAGTCGATTAGGTTTAGGGTTGAAGGGGGATGTCGAGAGAGTTCCAAAGGAGAAAGGTGGTCCAATAAAGAGAGGAGGTACAAGGATATAGGCAAAGCAAGCAAGGTGCACCACCAAACAATGTAACACTACACTAACTACTGCTACAAGCAGTTTATATAAGAAATGTATTTCAACACTAGGGATTGATATTATATTTGCTATTATATTGCAACATCGAAGTACCCTTAGTGGGTTTGTTTATTTGCAGCCAACTCTGATGTGTCAGTTAGGTGGATGGAGTGGTTATGCGTGTGTTGTCACGTGATACTACTGTAGTGTGTGGGTTCTTTTTGTTTGGTTTGTCATGTGCCCAGGTTCTGTTGAAATTCGCACTCGAATCCAGCGTGCAATTCGCCTCATCGTCCTACCCCTCCTCTTCGCTTACGAATTTTGCTTGCGATTCGCCCGCGACTAGCTCGCAATTCGCCCCATCAGCATAGCACTGTACGCTCATTTTAAAAACCGTTTCTTGCCTCGTTTTGCAAAACATTCCTGCCAGCGCCACACTTCCCAACCACTTTTGGTATTTGAGATATACACCGGGTACAGCAAATGTATCATTTTCTTGCCAGCGCCACAGATCCTTCCTTTTTTCGCTGTCAACTCGAATTCTCCGCTGACTTGGTTTCTTGAATTTGAGCACCTGCTCTACTCTGCTCTTTCCCTTCCCAGCTGTCAATTCGAAGTCTGTCATACCTGGTTCCCTCGAATTCCTCCTGTGCCTGCTCTCTCTGCCAATCATCCAGCTATCGCGTTTTACTAACACCCAGCCGTCGCCTCTCCCTCTTATCCCGTCGCACCTCCCTCCTACCCCGCCGTTACCATTCCCTCCCATCCCGCCGCCACACCGTCGTCGCCTCTCCCTCACCTCGCAATCGCCACTCCCTCCCATCCCGCTGCCCTCTTCTCCCATCCCACCGCCGCCACTCCATCCTGTCCCGCCGCCGCCCCTCCCTTCTCCACGCCGTCGCCGCTCCGTCCCTCCCCACCGTCGCCTCTCCTTCCCTCCCCGCAGTCGCCTCTCCTTCCCTCCCCGCCGTCGCCTCTCCGTCCCTCCCCGCCGTCGCCTCTCCTTCCCTCCCCGCCGTCGCCTCTCCTTCCCTCCCCTCCGTCGCCTCTCCTTCCCTCCCCGCCGTCGCCTCTCCTTCCCTCCCCGCCGTCGCCTCTCCTTCCCTCCCCGCCGTCGCCTCTCCTTCCCTCCCCGCCGTCGCCTCTCCTTCCGTCCCCCGCCGTCGCCTCTCCTTCCCTCCCCGCCGTCGCCTCTCCTTCCCCCCCCGCCGTCGCCTCTCCTTCCCTCCCCGCCGTCGCCTCTCCTTCCCCCCCCGCCGTCGCCTCTCCTTCCCTCCCCACCGTCGCCTCTCCTTCCCTCCCCGCCGTCGCCTCTCCTTCCCTCCCCGCCGTCGCCTCTCCTTCCCTCCCCGCCGTCGCCTCTCCTTCCCTCCCCGCCGTCGCCTCTCCTTCCCTCCCCGCCGTCGCCTCTCCTTCCCTCCCAGCCGTCGCCTCTCCTTCCCTCCCAGCCGTCGCCTCCGGCGAGTGCACGAGCGCAAGCGCAAGTCGGTGTGCGAGCGCGGGTTGGTGCGTGCGCGGGTGCGCGAGCGCGGGTTGGTGCGCCAGCGCGGGTTGTTTTCTGAGGCACCGTGGTTATCAGGTGCGTTCCCGGTCCTTTCATCCTCCCTCCCCCCTCTGATATTTCCGGTCCCCCCTCCCCCTTTTTTTTTGCTCTATGTGTACATTTTGTCTGTCGATTGGTCTCCTCTTGCATTGCACTTTCATTTGAAGAAAAGGAGAGACGGAGCGCGAGGGAGAGTGTGTGCGTGGGAGCGAACGCTCAGGAGAGTGCGCGTGAGAGAGCACGTGAGAGAGCGCGTGAGAGAGCGCGTGAGAGAGCGCGTGAGAGAGCGCGTGAGAGAGCGCGTGAGAGAGCGCGTGAGAGTCCGAGTGCGCGTGAGAGAGCGTGTGAGAGTGCACGTGAGAGAGCGCGTGAGGGAGTGCGTGGGAGAGAGGACGTGAGAGAGGGCGTGAGAGAGCGCGTGAGAGAGCGGGTGAGAGTGCGCGTGAGAGAGCGCGTGAGAGTGCGCGTGAGAGAGCGCGTGAGAGTGCGCGTGAGAGTGCGCGTGAGAGAGCGCGTGAGAGTGCGTGTGAGAGAGCGCGTGAGAGAGCGCGGGTGAGAGCGCCTGAGAGTGCGCGTGAGAGTAGAGTGCGCGTGTGAGAGCTCGTGAGAGAGCGCGTGAGTGAGCGCGAGAGAGAGCGCGTGAGTGAGCGCGAGAGAGAGAGCGCGTGAGAGAGCGAGTGAGGGAGAGCATGAGAGGGCGCGTGAGAGAGTGCGTGAGTGAGCGCGAGAGAGGGAGAGAGCATGAGAGGGCGTGTGAGAGAGCGCATGAGAGAGCGCGTGAGAGAGCACGTGAGAGAGCGCGTGATAGAGCGGGTGAGAGAGCGCGTGAGAGAGCGGGTGAGAGTGCGCGTGAGAGAGTGCGTGAGAGAGCGTGTGAGAGAGCGGGTGAGAGCGCATGAGAGTGCGCGTGAGAGTGCGCGTGAGAGAGCGCGTGAGAGTGCGTGTGAGAGAGCGCGTGAGAGAGCACGGGTGAGAGCGCGTGAGAGTGCGTGTGAGAGTAGAGTGCGCGTGTGAGAGCTCGTGAGAGAGCGCGTGAGTGAGCGCGAGAGAGAGAGAGCATGAGAGGGCGCGTGAGAGTGCGCGTGAGAGAGCACGTGAGAGAGCGTGTGAGAGAGCGCGTGAGTGAGCGCGAGAGGGAGAGAGCATGAGAGGGCGTGTGAGAGAGCGCGTGAGAGAGCGCATGAGAGAGCGGGTGAGAGCGCATGAGAGTGCGCGTGAGTGTGCGCGTGAGGGTGTGTGTGAGAGAGCGCGTGAGTGCGTGTGAGAGAGCGCGTGAGAGAGCGCGTGACAGAGCGCGTGAGAGAGCGCGAGAGAGAGCGAGTGAGAGCGAGTGAGAGAGCACGTGAGAGAGCGCGTGAGAGAGCGCGTGAGAGAGCGCGTGAGAGAGTGCGTGAGAGAGTGCGTGAGAGAGCGCGTGAGGGAGCGCGTGAGAGAGCGCGAGAGAGAGTGCGAGAGAGAGCGAGTGAGAGTGCGTGAGAGAGCCCGTGAGAGAGCGCGTGAGAGAGTGCGTGAGAGAGCGCGTGAGAGAGCGCATGAGAGAGCGCATGAGAGAGCTTCATGAGCACGCTGCAAAGTGCTCATGCACTAGTGTGTGTCGCTTATGCGAACTACTTATGCAAACGCGTGTCACTTTCTGCACTAGTGCTTAGGGTGCCGGCTTCTAAGATGTTGACTTCCCTGTTTTTGCTTGTGCAGGGCGTGTGTGTGCTGTTTTTGCTTGTGCAGAGCGTGTGTGTGCTGTTTTTGCTTGTGCAGAGCGTGTGTGTGCTGTTTTTGCTTGTGCAGAGCGTGTGTGTGCTGTTTTTGCTTGTGCAGGGCGTGTGTGTGCTGGCTTCTCTGTTTTTTCTTGTGCAGGGCGTGTGAGCTGAGAAGGGAGATGAGGGAAGGAGGGACGGAGCGGTCTAGGGAGGGTAAAGGGGAATAGGCTAGCGGGGATTTATGCACTTCTGAATTTCATCTGGATGGTTGCGTGTTTATTACGGTATCTGTGCTTGTTTGCTTGTTTGTCACTGTGTGCAGGGAGTGAGTGAGAGCTGCATTTGCTGTTATTTCTTTCCTGTGCAGGAAGTTTACCCTGCAATCATTGTTTATCGTGGAGAGAAAAGGGGGGCTGGGTGGGGATGGGGGGGAAGGGAGACCAGGGACGGGGGGAGGGAGGGAGGGGAACGGGGGACAAGTTAGTGATGGCTTATTAATTGGTGAACTTCATTGGCTATGCTTGCATGCTTTAGTATTAGCTATACGTTTCTGTTTTTTTTTTTTTTTTGTCTGCGCATGTGTGAGCCTATGTGTGTGTGCGTATATGTATGTAGTGTTGTTTGTGTCTGTTTCGCTGTGAGTGCTAAGTGCCTCGTGTATGCAATTGGGGTTGTGATCGTTGGTGGGGCAGCTTTGCTTGCCTCTTCCATACCAGATCAATCTCAGTTGCATCAATGATGCATTTTAGCATTAGCTTCGAAGCATTCACAACTTTTGTCCCTCGTTTTTGTACAAGTTCGTGTGCTGTCGTTTGTGACTGCTTTGGGGTGTGGTGCTAAGTGCCTCGTGTATGCAACGTGAGTTGTTGTGGTTGTCGGTGAGGCAGCTTTACCTGCCTCTTCCGTACAATTTTGCATGTTTTGTTTTTCTTTTTTTCACTTGTAGAAGTTTGCCTATGATTGTGTTTCGTATCGTTACGTTATTTGTGCTAAGAGATTGTCCAATTGTTCCATTCGCCGTACTTATCGACGATAATGGAATGATTGGACACATTTGTTTCCATTCTTAGGGTAACTTATGTAAACAGTGATTAATTTTTTCCATTTTTTGGGAAGAAAATCACTGTTCACATCAGTCAACCGAAAAGTGAAAACGAATGTATAAGGTTGCTACGCAACCCAAAAATACGGGCTAAATTCGAGCATAGACAGGCCTGAATGGGATGATCGCATGAGATGAGGAAACTTTGTCAAAACAGAACTACACGTTATTGTACTTCTCCATTACTATCAAGGTGGAAATTGGATAATCAGGCATCATATAGGAGAAGCGGAAATATAATTTGAATGGTTACAAACAATAGGAAACTAAGATGATTCCTTCTTATAACCAAGAGCAACACTACTCAGCTCCACTCCTGGAAGGTTGCTCAGCACGAGTGCATGCAACCCGCGACCTTCCGTTCTAATTAGTCTCAAACGAGGTAACTTTCTGAGCAGTGCTACACCTTTTGCTGTCACAAAAGAGTTTGATATATCCAACTCTTCCAAAGCAGGAAGACTCTGGATGTGCTCCAGGCGAGCATCACTGATCATGCTCGGAAGAACGAGCACTTTGAGTCGGCTCAAAGGTGCCAGAAACTCCAAACCAGCATCCGTTACACGGGACCCATTAAGATCGAGGTATTTGAGGCTGCTTGCTGCTCCAATGCCTTCCAGGCAGCTGTCTGTTATGGCAGGGCTGGTCAGCTCTAAGCTCTCAAGCTGCTTCATGTAGAGGTGCTTGATTCCTTCAGGGCTGAACGGTGTTAACGCATCGAGAGCAATGTGTTTCAGGTGAGTCATGGTGGATACATGGCCAAGGATGGCATCTGAGAGGTACGGGAGGCCCTTCAGATCCAGTGTTGTGGTCGCATGAATCCTCTGCGAATTATGGAATCGGGGGAGGTGGGGGTGAGGGGGGGGGAACGAAAAAAAGTTGAAAGAGAAACAGTGCAAACCATACTAAAAGGCATTTTCCACGGATTTATCTAGTAGCTAACATTGTTAGTCTCGTACGTACTCACCTGCCAAACCATTTTATGAACCCCCTGGCGCATCCTCAGCTCCTCTTCAACGTCAAACTCCAGATGCTTCGGTGCCGGGCACGGCATCACTGCTGCCTGATCCAAACACACTCCTTTCCTCTTCACCTCCTTCACCTCCTCCTCCAAAGCCGGCTTTTCCCCCTTCACTTTCTGCAAGCACTCCTGTTCAGCCAGCTCTCCTTTTGATTCCATAAACCCCTTTTTCACTGCATCCAACTCCCCTTTCACAATCGCCAGCTCCCCCCTTGTTGTTAGCAACTCCCCCCTTGCAGTCACCAGCTCTCCCCGCACGGTTAGCAGCTCCCCTTTCAGTAACACCAACTCGGCTGCTCTGCTCCTCTCAGCCTCCTTCAGTCCCTTCCGTGTCTCCTCCAGCAGCCCTTCAAGCGCTCTCAGTCTCATCTCCCTTGCATCTTCTGCTCCGTCAGTTGCTGCGTACTGTGCTGAAACTGCACACGGCAGGGTGTTGAGCTCAGGCAGTTGATCCGACATGACGTGTTAAATTTACCTGAAAGGGAGAAATGGAAACATACACAAAATCATGGCATAAGGCAAGAGGACAAGAGGGCCGAGCTTGACCTGATAGGGTATTTACAAGTGACATTATGACGTGATGCATGGGAAAACACATACATGTGCTATGTGCTAACAAAGTAACGAATAACTAGGAGCAAAATCGCAACACGAAAAAAATGGACGGCTGGGACTACAATAGGTAATTTTGATGGAGTATCAAGTGGGTGAGTAACGTGAAAACTGCACGCCAGCTGAGACAATGGATGTAAGAACTAAAAAACGGGTCTTAACCGATGGTCTGAGATGACCGTCGATAACGGGCCGCTTCCTGGGGACTGTTTCGTTTGAGGAATCTAGGCTGTAAAGCACGATCAGAAGGATCCCGTACGGCAGCATTAGCATGTCAGTAAGAGAAAGTACTTACTTCAACGGCTAGGAGCATGAGAGGGGGAGGCAATAAGGATAAAGGAACTGTCAGATAAGATAGAATGGAATGGAAGGGATATGGACAACCAGAAGACTTCTTATGCACTATACACGTCTGAGAGGGCGTCCGAGGAGGTTGAACCGACTACTTCTAGTAATAAGTCGAGTTAGTCGTCACTTGCGCGAATGGAGCTGAGCCTATCAGCGGGAAACGCGAAATCAGGCTTAGTGTAACCGAAACCAGCGTCGGTTTTTATTAGGCGCCTCAACGACACAATACGCACTTCACGTGAAATGCAATCAACTCCCCAGTTGCAAGAAACATAAGCACATAAGCTAGCTCGTAAGA